CCTTGGGATATGAGGAGGGACTAGGCATCATGTTGCAGAAGCCCTTCTGAGTGATTAGTTTATGGTTTGATGAAAGTTATTGTCACTTAGAGACATCAGAGCAGCCAAGTTATAATGTTTTTATTGATAAATTATCAAATAACCTTTTTCACCATCCCAAACAATGTTCTTTACTTTGTATGTAAAGCAGAACTGTTACCATGGATTCACTGACATCCTGTTCTTATTTCACTCCCTTCCTTTCCCCACCACCCAAAGGCATATTATTTGTGACAGTATTCCCAAGAACACATCCCTTTCATCTGATGTTCTTTTAAATGCTCATCAGTCCATGATGAAACACGAGTTCTTCTGAAGACACTGACAAGTTAATTGGCTGAAAAGGCTGGTCCTCACCTAGGAGGATTCTACTTTATTTGTAGCCCAGCTGCCTAAGGACACAGAACGTGTCCATCTGCCCATGGTCATTAAGCCAATTTCAGTGAGGACTGTGCCCCCAGGCTGACTTCAACTAATTCAGCAGTAAGGCAAAGATCTCTAAAGATACTATGTTATCAGAGTTGACGAAAGTGGCTTGGGAGCAACGAACCCTTGTTTCTTCCCTCACTGGGAGAAAGGTTATATTATGTGTTCAAGCCTTCTATGGCACCAGTGGTCCCTACAGAAGCCATGTAGGCAGCTAATGTAGAATAAGATGGGTTTCATGAGTTGTGCTGCTCACTGAAAAACAGACTTAGGAGTCTGTATGTAATGTTAAAGATAACATAAACCAAGTGAACAGCAATAGCACAGACAGTGTTCTTGAGAGAATATGTTGAGAGAAGCTGGACACTTCCTCTTCTTCGTCCTAAAAGATGACATTCAGAGTCTCCCCTCAGCTGAGCAACAGTACAGGTCAAGGTCTGCCACAGCCTCAGGGAAAGGGAACACCCAGGTTCCAGCTAAGCATCCTAACCACTGATTTGTAGGTACATCTTAAACTCTCCTGCCCCATGGTGCATTTGGGGTTTGTGAATTTAACCAGAAGATCTTTTTCATCACAAAGATTTCCCCACCCCTGAAGCACTGCCAAATCAGCACTTAAACACGCTCTACAATAAATGCTGCCAACTTATGACACTCACGGCTGCTACCCTGCAGTGCTCATTGTGTTTTAACTTCCTTTTATCTGCGCAGGTTTCTGCCAGTGAATCAGTCTGCAAGTGGAGACAGACCAGGAACTGTGGCAGAAGACACTAGCAAGGCAGTCAAAGTAGAGGTAAGTTGCTTGTATGTACGTGTTCATGGTCTTTTTCTCTGTTGCCTGTCTCCATAAAAATGTTCAGTCTTTGGTTTGTGCAGTTGCTTAGAAGAATTAAAAGCTTTTTGCCTCTCTGATCTGTAAGCTTATTACTGTGCTTCTTTGCTCAAGTTAGAAGAGAAAGGCAAAGAAATTTGACCTGAGCAAAAGGAAGAAAAAGAGCAACCATTTAATTTTCCTCTACTTGTTTTCTTCAGTTTGAGACCAACGGAATGAAACCTCAGTACTGCAACAGTGTGTGTAAACTGGACCTCCTGCTCATGCACTGTGGTGCATGTGCATGTTTTGTTAGTGAGTAAGGCAGCAGATTCTCATAAGCATTTGGTCACAGCTGCTTCTCTGGTTGGTGTGTGTATGCCTTACAGTCTACAGGAAATAAATTTTAGACTGCTTAAAGCACAAGGATAGATGGATGAATTTCTGAAAGGCTTGTATCTTAGTTTCACTAAAACTTAAAAGTACCTAAAGAACTTTCAAGGGCATTTTTCTCTCTGACCTTTTTATCTTCTAAGTATGTTCTTTTGTGTCAGTTTACAATGCCCAATATTTCCTTATGATGACTTCTCACTATATAAAAACAGCTGTTCATGTCTCCTAGCTATCTTTATTCCTGAAGCCTAAGGGACCAGTGGCCTGCCGAGATTGCTATTACGTAGCCCGCTGTGTCTGATTTAAAAGGTGAATACCTGGAAGCCCATGAGCCATGCCGTCTAAGCCAGGTGGTCATAGAGTGCATTGAGAAAAGTTTGCCCTAACAAGAGGAATAATTTAGCCTCTGTGTTGCCCCAGCTAGTCTTGGTAGTGATTTGAAAACAAGCTGACACATGAGCAGAACTTTTTCTTCCTAAATGAGATTCCCCATGCAGGGAGAGGGAGGCATATGCTACTCCCATTAGAAGAGAGTATAACAGCAGAAAGGAAAAAAGAGTGTTGGGCTGACTAAGTATGTAGTTGTGAGGCTTCCTGTTTTAACAACAAAAATTAAGAAGTATTTGATACACAAAGGGAATTGAATGTGTTTTGATGCCAAGTTTAAAGTTTTGGGTGTTTCCAAACACTGCTTCATTCCAACTGTCTGATGACTCAGCAGGTCTGACTTCTTTAAATTTGTTCAAATTTAAAGGTTAATATGAAGATCAGAAAAAGTTGAAACTCCTCCTATAAGAATATTTAAAGAGTGCAAAAATATCTTAGTTGCCCCTCCTTCACTCCCACAAATCCTGTTTATCTACCCCATTACTTGCCAGGGAATACTCACTATTTTCTCTTGATCTGTAGTTCCATTTACAAGTACAAATAAACTTCATCGAGCAGCATGTCTTGTCATAGCAGACGTCTTATGCTAGAAGCAGACTCCAGAAACATGTAGCTGCATGAGAACTTCTGTTCTTCATTAAAAATTGTATTCTACAGATGTAGTGGACCTAGCAATGCCTGGTTTCAGCAG